TACATTAAACTCAAATTCTTCAAATAAACACTCCAAGATCACTATAAACAACTTCTGCTTAAGCTCATGGACTGTCAGGAAAAGGAGTTATGTCTCGGAAAACCTGCAATCTGCTTCTCGTCTTCATATTAATGTTCTTCTCAGACATAAGATCATTATCCTTTACTGGCACAGAGTTCAAGCCTGTGTTTGACCTCTGGTACTGACCAAAACATAAGGAACGTCGCACTGTTTGATTCTTTGATGAAACAACACCACTCTTGGATGTACGATATCCATTCTGTAAATCAATTGAGTCTTCAAGCTTTTGACTTAAGTACTCTATCTGATTCTGTGGACAAGAACTCGGATAAATTACATTGGAGTTGATATTTTCATTATTAAATTCTTCTTCTTCCATAGTCCAACCATCCAAACCCTCTCTTGAAATTCTATCAGATAATGACTCTTCTTCTTCCTCTTCTTCGACCATATCTGCCCAACTCTTTTTACCATGAGCTGTAACGCAATCCAGTGGTGACATTGGTTTTTCAGAAATGAATAAATGGAGAGTATCCAACATTTCAGAGGTCTGACCACCAAAGAAAATTTTTAAGCCACCTGTATTATTATCATCACCTTTTTGCCAAGTACTTGTCCAGCTTCGGTCCACAGTATCCTCTTTTGTTTGAGCAAACCCATCATTTCCCCAACAAGAAGACTTTGGTTGTGAAGGAGATTGTACTGCTGCTTCATTTTTTACCTGAGCAAAATCTTTCAGTGATTTCCTTCTCCAGTCTTCACTAGCAGGTGAAGGCAAAGCATTTTCAGACTCTTGTAGTGATTTATCATTTGTTGAAACCAATTGTTCTCTGTTAACATTCTGGGACACATTTTCGGTGGTTACAGCTTGCTCAAACAATAATTTGCATACAGAACGGCCAACTGCTTTCTCTCCCCATTTTCCCCTTCTCTGATCTCCCACGTGTGAAGATGATACTCTTGGTTGTGTATATAAAACAGCATTATCTGTGAGTTCAGTTTGCTTGGATGGCACATAACCATTTCCCCATCTTTCCATTCTCTGTTGCCCATCAGAAAGTCCCCATGAAGGTCTTCGTGGTTGTGTAAATGGAACTTCAAAGTTGCTTCTAACAGTGGATGGGGAAGCGTCTGTCTCCTGCCGTAAACAGCTTACTCCTATTCCAGGTGAACTAGCCCAATGTTCCTTCCTCGCACCAGCAAAACCAGACCTTCCACTTTGGTTTTCAAGATACAAATGTTTCCTCCAATTATTGTCAAACACAGAGAGTAGAGAAATCTGTGAAGTTGCTGCTGGTCCAGGTGACACGCATTTCGAACTTCCTTTGTCATATCCAAAGACTCTGTTCATATTCTCATGCTGATTTTGACAATAAGCTCTTCTATGTTGTTCATTTAATGGCATCATTTCTTCATCACATCCATCTGCCCTGCTTCTGGAGACATTGATAGTAGATACATGATTTGGACCTCCATAGGTTAAGCCAGCAACAAAATTTGAGTTTCTGTCAGTAGGCAATCCAAAAGGTCTTTGGTTTTCCACATTGTCCTTTTTATGCAGCTTCTCACTTCGTTCTAACATTGCTGGTGACTCTAATTCAGTCAGCATCTGAAAAGCACGATCATAAGATTTAGCATATGAATCATCCATTTGCTTATTTCCAGCTGAAGCTTTTACAGCCTGAAGCAGAGATTTTGCTTCCATCATCCTGTTCATGTGCATCAAGCAGATTGCAAGATTGCACTGCTTGTTCTTGTCTGCCTCTAGGGACAGTGCTTTTCTGCAAAGAAATGTATATGTAGCTCAAAATAAATGCCTCTTTTCTTCAGAAAAATATTGTTATATATGCCTCTTTTCTTCAGGAATAGTGGAGGAATACCTGTAATACTGTTCAGCAAGTTCGTAGTTATTTTGCTGCAAATAAGCCCACGCCAAGTTCCCCAGTATTCTACATTATTGGTTGATCAAAGTCAGATAAATGTAACGAAATATATGGTGAAAACATGAAAGAAGAAAGCAAATAGATGAACATCCACCTTGATCTCTCTTGTGCTACAGTTATTTGAATCTTCTTCCCCTGCGATCTTGCCAACTTTGTCTTTGCTCCACCAAAAGCTATACCTTCTTCTATCTTTTTCAGTTTGCACTGAAGCATTTCTATCTCTTCTGCAATTCTCCCAGACCTCTGCCAAAACAAACAAATAAATAGAATATTGAATCTTAACATGATTTTTTTTTTTTTTTCCAGAAGTAGTTGCATAAGAGGTTAAATCAAGAGCAGTGAGATTTATCATAGCCTCATTGATACTGCATGATTCAGCTGCATGTCACAAGAAGTAAATTCATGCTTCTTAGCTCCATAAAGCTTCGTGTGCATTTGCAAACTTAACCTTTCCACTATTCCTATCAATTTTTCCAGCTCTAATACTCACTAAATAGGCACACTGCTCTTTCACAGTTAGGAAAAAGAAACTAATGCCTTGCCTTTACAATTTCCTAAAACCAAACCTACAGTGAGATATTACATTTCTTCAAGCCTAGTTCAGTTTCTTCATATAAAGCATGGATCCTTTGAAGTGTAGTGAAGACATCAAAAGATTACTTACATATGCTTTAAAAAACCATTAAGTAGTTCTTCATCTACTTTCATTCTAATCTCATATTGACTGATAAGTACTTGCTTATGGATTCAAATCATCTTGGTTAGATGTAAAAGGTTACAAAACACATCAGTTAACTTTTTTCTGACTCACTGAGATCCTATTTGGAGCAGATAAAAAATGGTAAGTGTTATGAAGAACGCTTAACCCCCTCCTAAATCTAAATTATACTTTTCCGATAAATTACACATATTAATTGATGTAAATGGAAGATTAAGGAAGGAAAAAAATCTTATCAAACATGACAAACATGCCTCAATTCAAAAGCACTCAGATTTACCCAACCTCCACTAATAGTCTTATACTTCCAGCAGCAACGACTTAAATCAAAAAAATGAAAGAGAAGTGCTAGTAAAATGTAAACAAATTTGGGGAAGAGAATGATAGTTTACTTTGTAAAGTTCGATAAGAACATTGTCAAGAGACTCCTGAGAGTCATAAGGGCAGAGATGACGAAAAGATTTGATCGCCTCGATTGCCTCATCCGGTCGATTCAATTGTTTCATCACAACTGCCATGTCTTTCAGAGCACTATCAACACGGTCCCCAGCATTTATAGCAGCCCAGAACATTGAAACTGCCCTGCTTGGATCTTTCTCTACCAACTACATTTAAAGAATAGCAAATAACAAAGAGAAATAAAGGAACCCCATAAACACATTTGATCTTAAAAAATTATACAGCGGATACTCTTGAACATTTAGTCTATCAGTAATGATTTCACCTAAAATTTCGACCAAAAACACATAGCTCTTTTTATTTGGAAAATATTCAGCTCAGTAAATCATGCAACAATATTTCATCAACTATAAAAACCTGTTCTCTATACAAGTAAAATTGCCGAAGACATAAAACTTCACCATTCATTTATTTTTATTTTCTCACAATTTTCCCTTAAACCAAAGAAAGTTAATTAATATGGGCAACCCTCCTATACAAAACCCACTTCTACATGAAATTCAAAGATTTTTCTATAATATAGGATACAGTGTTTTGAAAAACAGTAATCAAACAAAAATTTCGTACTCTTTTAATATAATTAATGAACCAAATTGTTCATTACAAAATTACTCAAATTTCCGAGAGCAAGAATTATAACCAAAAAAAAACCCAGAAACCAACAAGAAAACATGAATAAACCATGTAAATTCACAAAGAAATAATAATAATAATAATAACCTGAATATGTTTAGCCTTTCCATAAGGAGAATCACCAGCGGGCACTTTGTGAATGACATGAAAGAGATCACCTTTGGCCTTCATTGGTGACATTCTCTTCCTTTCCGATATCGGAGATGGCGGCGGTCTTTGCTTTCTCCAAGTTGGCGGCGGCGTCGAGAACTTCTTATCAATGTGGGTCCACATATTTGGCTTCTTTGAGTAAGAAAACTATCTATTGTCACTTTCCGGGGAAAATCTTGCAAACCCTTTTCTTGAATGCCAAGAAAATGATTTTACTGATCAAAGCAACCACTTTCTCATTCAAAAAAAAAAAAAAAAAACAGTCCTGTGCTTCAAAGG